AGGACGGACAGAGGTCACACTTTTAGAGGATATTTCTCCGTAATGGAGATAGGAAGCTTGGCCAACTTTGCTGCTGGATGAATCATTCTTTTCGTGCATTCAAACGTGTTGTGGATGTCCTTCCCTCAATGACGTATGTGAGGAATTTCTCCATATCTCTCTATATTTCCTCTTTTCTCTCTCTCTCCTACGTAAGCGATAACCGATTTTGGGCGTACACATCATATCATCATATGACATCTTATCAAAATTCCAGCCTGCAGGACCTTATCAGTGTTATTTTGATTTCATTATAACCTATTTTCACCTTTATTTCAACATATCAATATTAAAAAATGTAGTTTCTTAGAGTATAAAAATTAAAATAATTAAGAAAATAATATGTGTTGAGCTTAGTAATATACTCTGAGTAATGAGAATATAATAAAATAAAATTTTTAATAAAAGAGTAGTTAACTGATTATTAGAAAGATTAGTAAAAATTAAATTTACTATATTTTTTAATAAGAAGATTTGTGTAAAAATAAAAAATAAAATATAGTGAAGAAAGTTTGATTTTATTAATATTTAAAGAGTAAGTAAATCTATTCAATAATTTTTTAAATTTTTATAGTTTTTTACTTTATATTATTTAATTATTTTCTGAACATACTACTTTTTCTCAAAGAATATATTAAATTTTTATTTTAATAACTTCATTAGTATTATACTACTTCTCAGTATTTAAATCAATAGTTTAATAATAAATAGTTTTTATTTTATTAAAAAAGAAAAACTATATTTTATTAATATACTTTTTATCAAATAGATTTAAGATCTTGTTGTATTTTTATTCTTTAAACTTCAAGCTATTAATTAAATTCTTATTTTTATAAAGTAGTAGTAGTAGTTTTTTTTTTTTTTTTTTTTTTTTTTTTTTTTTCAATTTAATATCTATTAATTTTATAATTATATAATTTAGTTAATAATATAATAATATAAAATAAACTCTATTTAAATTATTTAATAGTATAAGATCATTGAGTTAAAAAGAATAATTATAATTATCTAGTAATAATATAGCAATTATTTTATAAATATTTTATAAATAATTACTCTATAATCAAAAAGAAACTATTTAATAATAATTTAATAATTATATTAAATATATATATATATATATATATAAATAAAATT